TGCATCTTGATTTCGCTTTACTTGTGCAGCAATCAGAAAAGCCATAGATGGTTTCAACTTGTGTGTGTGTGTGTGTTTATTTTATTTTATTTTTACCTACAGGTACTCCAGCCATTAAAATATGATCTGTATCCATTTTGGAACTTTAAAGAAATGATTTTGGATAAGGGCAAAATGTTGTGCCACCTATTCCACATAGTTCCTTTCTTGTCAGTGCTCACTTACACTGGCACTTAATTTGTTGCTGTACATGAGAACATTTCTCCATCACCTCTGAAAATGTCTCATAGGCAAGGCTTTTAGAACCTGAATTTTTAAACACGAAACAGGATTATGGATTAATCTCAGGCAAGAAAGTCCCCGAGGGCTATGTAACCTAACAAGTAAGCCTCTGCTCTTGGCAAGTCCCTTCCTGGGCTGCCCTCTGTTCCTGCTGTTGACCTAGTGGACGAAAGAGTGGATGTGTGTGTGAGTCTAGGCATGACTTCTCTAAAGATCAACATTTGTACACACTGGAGTCACCTTTTATACATAGTGCTACTGACATTAACCAGAGGAGTGGGCCTGACAGCCCTGGCCTCCACGCCAGGGAGAAAGTGGCCCGGCTGTGCGCACACAGTTATCTGAAAGGATTCAGCAGAAAATCACACAGCCTAATTGTTCTTAGTCCAAAAGGAACTATTGCCCAGAAGAGGCGGCTTTAAGGTTTCTGAGTGTGATCCATCAAAATGGGGTATTCATTTCAATATATATGTAATAAACATTGAGGCTGTTTCTCCTCTTGAACTCTGGGTATCATGATTTTATTATCGCTATGTATTCTTGAAGAAGTGAGAGGAAAAATAAGAAGAAATATTTTTAAACAAAGCAATTTAAATATTTCAGAAGCTGTACAAGAAAGAAGTCCACGGTGAAGCAATCAGATCCTTGAGTGAATATTTGGCATTCAAAAAGCAAGGAATCCAATGTTTTCACTTTTATTTGTCCTGAGACCATTTGATACAGAGTTACATTTGATGCAGGATTATGTTTAATCACTTTGTAGGAGACTAGACTATACCCTGATATTGGTAATGAAAATGGTGAATTTTTTTTTAATCAGAGAAGAGCTACTAAGGAAAAATCATTTATTCTGAAATACAGTTTAAAGGCAAACACTGTAGAAAATGTGTCCGTTGAGGAAAACATAGATGTCTATTTCCAAAGCATGATATAGGTATTTGGTGAAGCTTGGAGTTTAATATGTGACTATAAATGGTACAATCTGGCCGATAACTTTTCATCCCAGTTGTGAAACTGTCACATGTTAAACTGTGAGTATGTTTTGTTTCTACCCAGATGAATAGTGAATGTTTCTATAAATCAGGACAATTCAGAAGGACAAAAAGTTGCTGATTTTAAGCATGAAAATTATGCACAGCAGGATGTGTACTTTGGTTGTTTTTATAGGAGTGGGATGAATTTGACCTTTGCCATCCACCCACTATCCGTCAGCCTCCCTTGGGACAAATACATGGTCCCTGGAAGGGGCTAGGGGATCATCTCTGGTGTGGAGCCAGTTGAGGGGCACAGTAACTACTGGTCCTAGGAGCCCAGTGTCAAAACCCCACTCTAATTAGTTCAGCTGGACAGCCAAAAAGCAAAGTCTCCTTCCCTGCAGTGCAAGGAGGATGCTGAACAGCATGCTGATGACTGGAAGAGAGGCAAGGTTTAGCAGATCTGCTGTTGTGATTGTGTGAATACTTATTCTATTTGGAGATGGAAGGAAAGCAGAGAAACCCTCTATTTAGCTTTGAAATGCAGCTAGGTCCTGTCGGTCAGCCTTGCTCATATGGTGCCTCTCATACTTCTCACCAGTCACTTTGTACGTGGGGAGAACTGACTGGGTGGGCGTCTTTGTTCTGAGTCTTCTTTGTATGAAGTGATTTTTCCCAAGGTTAACCAATTAAGAATTTTTTCCATGTCACAGTAATCGCTGAGAGGAGGGAGCCAAGTCACTGTGGGGGATGCTGTGCCTTAGGGACGCATTTGGGAGGATTTCCTTCTCCTGAAGCAATAGGGTCAACATAAAGTCCCTATAAAATGTTCTAAATAAAGGAGAAATTGAAGCGGAAGACTTCATTCTGGCACTTTATGTCTGGTTTTTGCTTTCCTCCCACTGAGGAGCTAACCAAGCCAGCAGTCTGGAGGATGTATTTAGTTGGAGGATAATGAAGCTTTACTGTGATTTTTTTACTTACCTGGATTATAATTATAAGGAAACCAGTACTTGCGGGTGGTATCTGGGTTAGCATAAGATGTACCAGTACATATTGCTGAATATGACACTTAAAAATGTGTGTGTCTATGTTTGTATCTGATGGTTTGTTTTATAAAAAGTGATCACAATTACAGTATTTTTATCACATGACTCTTAAGAAAGTCAATTTCATATCCTGATTCAGTTGGTGTCAAGTCATTGATTCAGATGTTGCTTTACCTGGTATGTAGTCATCCTTGGGACCAGAAGGCATTACATCTTGAAAATTATCCGCTGAAGTCTTCATAGGTGTCATGTTTTGTGGAAGGATTCTTTCTTCAGAGTATGGGAATGGCCTCATCGACCTTATGGATAGTGACTGTGGATGTGACGGGGTATCACTCACATGATTAAATGTGTTATTTAGCACAGTTGACTTTTAAAAAGGGACATTATCGTTGGTGGGCCTGACTGGGTTAATCCTTAAGGCAAGCCCTTAAATCGGACTGGGCTTTTTACTGACGAAGGAGAGTCAAAGCATGAGATGGATTTGATATGAGGGAGATTCTCCATTTGCTGGCTTTAAAGATTTGAGGGGACTGTGTGGCAAAGAATGTAGGTGGCCTCTATGAGCTGGACGTGACAGGGTGACCTCAGACCCACAGCTGCAAGGAATTCAATCATCTTTCAACTCCATGAGCTTGGAAGAGGACCCTGAGCTCCAGATGTGAAAGCAGCCTGACAATATTTTGATATCAACCTTATGAGACTTTGAGTGGGGAACCCAGTCACACCTTGCCTAGACTTCTGACCTGTAGAACTATGAGCAGCCAAGTTTTCAATAATTTATTGTACAATAATGGAAAATTGAAATAGAATGCAAAAGTCAACTAAGGCATTTTGAAACAGTGCCAGGATCAAAACATATAATGACCATTCTGTGTGAAACAAAAGGGGCCCAAGATCCATCACTAATTTCTGTTCTTCCATGCATTTCTGGGTACTATGTGATAGAAAATGAGCCAGGGATTTTCTTGCTCTTGAGGATCTTGTGATCCAGGGTTTCCTCCCAGACCCTCTCTGTAGAGTCTCCTCTAATAGTTCTTCCATTGTAGTTGTATTCAACAGTCAGTCTCACATCCTGGTAAAAAGTAAACCACCTGAAAATCCTTTACCCTTTCTGAACTTGCTTCTTTGGGAATATGTGAGAATCAAATAGGATATTGGAAACTATATTATCTAAATCACCAGTAATGATTACCTTTCTATAGTATGGCTTCTTCTCTTCCTTTCTCCCTCCCAACCTCCCTCCCAAAATTATCTGTTGATCATCTACTGTGTGTTTGAGAAGCGAGTGTGCCAGGTGGAGGATGCAAGGAAGCATTGGACTCCATGTGCTTAAAAGAACAAGGTGACATACAGGGAAGCCACTCCCTATTGCTCAAGGTAGCCTTATGATGCAAGAATCCTGAGGTATCAGGGTTGGAGTCAGGCTTGATTTGAGCTGATTGAAATTTGTCATCATCAATAGGTATCTCCTCCAGAGCCAAGTCAGTAGGAGAACTGAAAGTAAAGGAAACCCATTTCCTTCTCCTTCCTTGGAATTGCCCCAGCACTGATCCTTGTATTATAAGAGAGTGGGTCTGTTCGAGAACACCACCCTGATTTGTTGAATGGTAATGAACAGACTCTGCTAATGGAGGTGGCCAGCCAAATAGCCTGGACAAATGGTTTGGATTTTCTAGGGCCTCACAGCTTATTTTGAGTGTGGCAGAAACAAAATGATAATAACAAAATCAGATGATGATGCTAAACAAGCACCGAACAAAACAAGCAAGAAAATGAATGCAGTGGACTTCCAAAACCCATGGGAACTTTATTGAGGAACAAGGTGAAATGAGTTTACTTATTGCGGGGAAAGTTGGAGGTGGCAGGAATTACTATTGACAGCTCTCTAGTCACTAACACGTGGGCTGTCGCTGGTGAACCTGGATTATAACCAGTATAAGCTAAGAAGTACCCCTGCCTTGAAGAATAGCCCGTCTTAAGGTCATTTTGGCTAAAGGTAGCTGCCATTGTAACTGCCGCCAGAGGGCCCCTTCTTGTTCTGGAGGCCTGCTTCATACCTCTCCTTTAGAGGCTATGGTTTACCTGCAACTGCTTTTTCCATGGATCAGAAATATTTTCTAGGCGGATCTTTCTTAATTGAAATTGGTCGAATTACTCTTTTGGTAAACATTTGTAATGCATATTTGTATCAATAAGCACAAATAAATATATAATAGAATATGCGAAATCCCTAAACTTAGAAACAAACCCATCATGAATATTTTGATACATTTTCCTCTAGTCTTTTTTCCTACAAATATACAGAAAGCCCAACACACAATCTGGATTGTATCGTATCTACTATTTACCACCTGCTTTCCTCACTTAAGATTTCATGAGCAGCTTTCCTTTACGTTAAATCTTCCTGCTTAGTGTGTGATATCTGACCAACATCTCAACAATTCGGTGGCCATAATTTATTATTTGATTTCTTTGTAACACTTTTAAGCATACATATCCACACTTCCCTTGTAACACTTTGAAACACACACACTCTCACATAGTTTTTGTAACTATTTTTTTTCAAAGACGTGTATACATATATGTATGTTTGTATATGTATATATGTAAACATATAGATCCATACACATACACAATTTTATTCTGAATTTTATAAATAACATTGTGATGAATATGTGTATTATGTCCTTAGAGTAAATTCCTCTGGGAAACTCCCTTATTATATATCCTTAGAATAAATCCAGAAAGTGGAATCTCTGGATTAAATAGTAATCCATTAGTTATACTCAATTTAAAAGAATTGAAGTTTGTTTCCTATGACCGAAAAAGGTAAACGTTCCACAAAGACTGAAATAATTTATAACCATCACCACTGGACAACAAAGCTGTGAAAAATGGGATGTTCTGATGCTGCTCTTTCTAATTCAGTAGCCAACAGACACGTGACTATTTACATTTAAATTTTAATTAATATTAAATTAAGAATTCAGTTCCTGGTTTACACCAAACACATTGGAAGTGCCACATTTAGTTCGTGGTATAAATATTGGGAGCAGAACAAGTTACAACATTGCCAGCATTGCAGGAAGTTCTGTTGGACAATGCTTCTCTATTTTCTTCTCCAGTTCCTTCATCTTTATGTTTGGAATTTAGCCTAAGTAAGATTAAAATATGAACAATGCGTATTTTGTGTATGATTAATTTGGTTTGTTATAAAGTAGGTTTCATGGTGAAAATTTTACCTTTCCATTGAAGATGAAAAATGTGATGCATTTTTTTTGAAAAAAAAAAAAAGAAAATCTAACACTTGGTTTGCTTATGTATTTTCTTTTAGGCTGAAAACTAAGTAGTAATGTTTAAACCAGTGCTCACTGTTGATGACATGCTTACCATGTGCCAAGCATGTTGCTGCTGTGGTGCTCGTATTCCTCACAAGGTCTCTGGAGGGTGCAGTTATTATTCACATTTTACAGAAAAGGAAACGGAGATACATAGCAGTCAAGCTCCTTTCCTAAAATCACACCGTCAGCATGTAGCTGGGGCCTGACAGAGACCCAAGCTTTCTGACTTCAGTGTCACATCCTTTACTGTCCCTATACTGCTGTTCAAGAATGTCCCAGGCTGTTAGGGAAAAGGCCATCTCTTTGCCACACTGCAGAACTGTGACACATGTAAAATAAAGCTTCCCAGTTGTTTGAGATGTACCTACACCAAATACCCAGAAGCATACCCCCCAGCCTTGTTCTCAAGGAGCTTCCACTGAGTCCAATCCCGTCTGGAATGAAGAGTGCTCAAGGGCATTTTGAAGAAAGTGTCATTCATTTGTACTCTGACAATTTCTCATTTAACAGACTCTGTTAAGTCAGGTGTATGTATTTTTGCACATTTCTTCTCTCTCCATCTTTTATTACGGTATGAAGTTTTGTTAATAAGCCTGGGAAGAGAAGAGGAAAGGGAAAATGTGAAATTAGTCAAAATCAAAGAGTTTGAGCCCAAACAAATGTGCTTGATGTGGATACTTGTTTGTAGGAGAAGGATCAGAGGTGACCAAGCAAAGCTCCTTGATGCTTGAACTTCAATGAAGAGAAAACAAATCACAGTCTTAAGGATGGCCAGGTCCAGGCTGAAAGCAGTCTGGGGATTTTCAGTTTCAACCTTTTCCAAAAGGTGTCACTCTAAGGCAGCAGTGGGGAGGTGGGAGGGAGGAAGAAAGAGATAGAAATGTCAGATAAGGGTAATTGGAAAAATAAGATTAGTAGTCCTTGTTTTAACAGATCCTTCAGCCCCCAGCATCACTGTGGGAGAAGTTGCTGCTGCTGAGGAGGGGGTTTAAGCGTTTATCTTCACCTTCTGATCTCAGGGTGACCTTCTATGCCCAGAGTTGAGCTGGGCCAAGTCCAGCTATTCCCACAGGACCAATTCGCATTCCGGATTTGCTGCAACCTGGGATATGGGGATTTCATTGGCTCTGTGTTCTGGTGCAAACTGAAAACTGCCATCCTATTGCACTCAGGATGGAATGAAGACAGGAAACCAGGATGGATGGTGGAGCCTAACATAGAAGAGCCCATCTGTTTTTAAAATATGGCTTTAAAAATTCCAAATCATTAACACAAAATACACACCAACTCCATGCTGACATATAATTTAAGGGGAAAAAAATAGCTTTATCAAAATATTTGAGGATCAGCTCTTGCCAAACAACCCTCTTGAAAAGCCCAGGAAGCTGCCACGTGTCAGGAAGAGACACATGGAACCCAGAGTGGGGTCCTGGCAGATAACTGAGAGAGAGACTGGTTTTCAAATATTTAGTTAAACAACACAAATGTATGTGTAAGTTTAAGTCGACACATGTTAATGATTTAAGGTCTTAAACGGGTTTTTTATTTTATTGTTTTAAGGCTCCGCTGTTCACTTTAAAAGACCCGACGATTTCTCCAGAGCCATGCGTAAACACTGGACTCTTTAGAAAGTCGGGTGATGACTTCATTATTTTGAAAGTGAACAGTTACGAATTATTCAAATACAATTGAATATTTCCTGGTAACAACTATTTGAAAAGAGAGTTGTAATGATCTGCAACGTGGAATGACTAGTACAATCAGAAACGATTGTACAAACACAATTATTCAGGTTTTTTTTTTTTGTAATTGATGAGGCTGAATCAACATCTAGCTTGAATAAACATTTAATTATTATGTTCTAGATATATAACACCAAGCCAATGTATTTTTAAAATGTAATCTTAGATACCGAATCAGAATTCCAGTCTTGCCACATTTGGGGATCTTTTAGGAAATTATTTTAAGGAAAACATCTGGAGTATTCTAGAAGACTTTAGAGGTGGCTGTGAATCCTGTTTTCACGAAAATGACATTTTAGCAATTAAACACCTTTTCTAAAAGTTTTTTTCCCCAGGAAATATTATTGTCTGGTGAATTATTAATAGATGTACTTCTAAAAGAAGCACATGCTGTGTTAAATAGAGACAAATGGATTGCTTTCCTGCTGGACTGTCAAAAGCTTTTATTGTCTCTTAATTACTGTGATCCTCCAACCAGCATTTTTCTTAAGAATGGGACCACAGGACTTCCTCGAGCTGGGGCTACCACCGGCACTTCCCCAGGCTACTCAACTTGCTTGCCTTAGGGAGGCCAGCCACAATGCCAAATGCAGGATGGGCTGCTGTTTTATTCTTTTGTACCACCCAGTACTTTTCTTTACAATCACAGTTGTGATTAAGTAATTTGTTGATTTCTAACTTCCCTGTGGAAACCCTTCTGACAAACCTGTGGCCAGTGTCCAGCAGAGTGCCTGGCATATGGGACATACTCAGCGACGTGGTGGAATGAAGGAAAGAAGGAGTGTGTGTCTCCCAGGTCCCAGGACATAGCATATGGAATGCAGAGCAGGACTAAAAGCCATATGCTTCTACACCCGGGCAGAACCTAGGACATCTTTATTGTGTCTCTGTGAAACTCACAGGTTTCTGCGTTCTCCAGGCAGCTGCTGGGGTGGCAATGAGCATAGGGCCTCCATCCTTTCAGAAGCCAAGTAACTGAGCCCCCTCAACCCCATAGCAAAGAGAAGGTGCTTGAAGTAAACAGAGAGCAAGAACTTGAAGGGCGTTTGTTAAGGATGGTGAAGGGACCACTGATTTATGGGGTAGGAAAGTATCAAGTTTGGACTTACACTTCATTTATCATTGAACTAAGTGGGTCAAAGGAGGGTGTTTCAGAATCACGTCTTTGTGCTCCCCTTCCTCCCATTGCACAGGTATTTATTGAGTGTGGATACTGGTGCTGTGTCAGGTGCTGAAGGGGCTTCCAAAGAAGTTGGAGACATGGTCTCTGCCCTCCAGGGATTACAGTCTAGTTGTATTATAGCAACTAAGCATACACAATGTGCAGAATGGGTGCAGGCAATGAAAACTGAAGGCACTCGGGTTGGGCGAAAGCAGCATGGCTAGGAATGGGGTCCCCTTCCAGGGTATTAGGCAGGGTACTTTCCACGCATTATTTCGCTTTATGCTTATGTCAGTCCTGTGTGGCTGCTTCTGCCTCCTCTCTACTTTATGGGGGAGGATCTGCAGGCTTAGAGAGATCAGTAACTCCTAGGGTTCTCAGCCTTGGCTGCACTTTGGAATCACCCGGATCTTTAATAAAACACATATGCCTGGCTCCCACCCTCAAATATTTTTATTTAATTAGGAGCAGTGTGACCAGGGCATCAACATTTTTCAAAGCTTCCCAAGGGATTCTAATGTGTAGCAAAGTTTAGGAAATATTGGGTTAAGATTGGCCTAAGGTCAAAGATCTTATAGGTGGAACCAGAACTTGACCGAGATCTGACTGCTTCTAGAGCTCCTGCTTTTGATCACTGCAAGCTGTGAAGGAGGTCAGGTATAGACAGGGCCTTAAAGAATGGGCAGTTTTTGTAAGCAGAGGAGTGATCATAGGGCAGTCCTGGGGTATATGTGCATGTGTATGTGTGGTTGAGTGTTGATGAATGCAGCAACACACAGACATAGATGGTTGGATACTTACTAGGCACTGTATTAATAAGAGCTGACACTTCTGTGGCACTACTGAGTACTAGGCATTGTTTTGAGAGCATTGCTCATGTGAACCCATTTAATCCTCATAAAAACCTTGGTATGTTATTAACTCCATTTCACAAGAGGTACTTGAGGCTCAGAATTTTGTAATTGTTTAGCTTCCACTTACATGTGAGAACCTGTGATACTTGACTTTCTCCTCTGAGTTAGTTCATATAGGATAATGGCCTCCAGTTACATCCATGTTGCTTGAAAGGACATGATTTCCTTCTTTTTTATAAAGTGGGGGAGGGAAGAAAAGGGATGAAGTTTGAAGTACCTATGGGTTATAATGTTCAATATTTGGGTGATGGGTACACGTAGAAGCCCAATTCCCACATGCAACATACCTGTGTAACAAACATGCATATGTAGCCCCTGAATCTAAAATTTTTTGAAGAGTCTATTATTATATTGTCCCCAAATAATCCTTATTCTGGGCATTTTAATATAATTTGAGTAAAAATTACTATAACCTAATTCTTACATAGCAATGGTAATACTATATGTTTAAAGCAAATTTTGCTCCAAGTTTAAGTTGAGAAACCTAGAAAATTTTGTCTAGGTTCTTTTGTGAAGATAAACATTCCAGTTAATTTCTATAATTTTGTGAATATTATTTATTATATATAAATATTTTATTTTTCTTACATGAAATCAGTTTTTCTACCTGGGAAAAAAAGTTATAATTCACTTAGAGTTACACAGCTAGTAAGTGGCAGTCTAGCTCCTGAATTATGTTTCTAAGCCACCATGCTGCTCTGCCTCTTGTGTTAAGAATATACTAAGTGTTTTCATATTTGACAGGCTCAGCGCTAACAGCTCTACAATGATTGCTTCATATAATACTAGAAGTACTATTGTTATAGATGATCAGGCAAAGTCACATTCTCACTTAGGGGTAGGGGTAGAGACAGAGGCTAGGGATACATTTGTGCATATGCACACACATGTGAAAGCACACACATACATGTATGTATGCATACATAATTATGTTCAACCTTATTATACATGTGGGAAGGGAAGGGACCTGAGCTTGGGGTATCAATAGTAATGATAGAAGGGAATGATGGATCCAAGAAATATTTCCGAAATAGAACTCTAGGACTTGGTGATAAATGGAAAATAAAAAAGAGAGGAGAAGATAAACGTGGCTCTGAGGTCTTAGACATGAATAACTGAGAAAAGTCAGGACCTTGGACCAAAATGGTGGATGTGTTAGGGAGTGTCAAATTGGGAGGGTGAGGACAGGTGATAGGGGTTTGGTTTGGGCGGGTGTACCTGGATCCAGAGTTGACTTTTGGTCATCCTCAATTGAAAGTGATATTAAGACATCCAGAAAGAAATGATCAACAGGTGGTTAGGTACATGTGAGAGAGGACAAGTCAGGAAAAAGGAGATAAAGTTTGGAGAGGTATCTACATAGAGGTGAGAACTATAGAGACAGACCTCAATGCATCTCCTGTATTTCTATGTGGAGGGTGGAAGTGCCTCTAGAATGGAGTCACAAGGAGAAAGACCCAGTTATGGTCTGCAGGAAGATGAGTAATTTGCAAAATAAACAGGGGAATATATTCCTAAGTGTCTTAGTCCATGTAGGTTGCTCTAAAAAAATACCACAGAGTAAGTGGCTTATAAACAACAGAAATGTACTTCTCACATTCTGGAGACTGGGACTTCTTAGACCAAGGTGCCAGCATGATTGGATTCTGGTGAGGTTCCTCTTCTGGGTTGCAAACTGCTGACTCCTTGCTCTGTCCTTACATGGTGAAAGGGGACATACAAACTCCCTTGGGCTTCTTTCATAAGGGCACTAATCCCATATAGAAGGGCTCTGT